GAATGGTGTCGCCTGTAGCTGTCCTTTTGTCTGTGGGAACGATCCCACCGCTGCCACCAATTGTAACGGACAGTTTCAGCACACAAGGGGTTAAAACAGTTTAGGCGATATTCCCCTTTTCAGATACACAGGCACAGCTACTGCAGAACACCAAACTCCCGAACTGCATATAAGGGAATGCTCTAAACACCCGAACTGCATACAAGGGAATGTTCCAAACACCCGAACTGCATACAAGGGAATGCTCCAAACACCCGAACTGGAACCTCACGAATAGCTGCTAGCAGACGAACAGGAAAATCACCCAAGCGGCTTACACTCCTGGCAATCAGTCTCTAACCGCATACAGTAAATCCCCCTCCCCCAAAGACGAGACAAGGCTCCGTGTTGAGGGTCAAGCAGTGGTCTGGTTTAATGAGGGCTACCTGCCCAGTATTTATGCAGGTCTCCCACCTGGTGGACACTCCCCTAGGGGACCAAATGGGAGACTGTGACAAAGGACAGACATGAACCAATGACAGACACACAGAGGTAAAACCTCCCCACAATGCATCCTAACTTCCCTCCCTCTGTCCTGGAGATAATTGAGAAGTAATCCAATTATCTCCCAGCACAGAGGCAAAACTCCATTAACCACATGGCAGGAAAAAACAGTAAAAGACATAAAAATGTATAAAGTTACAACTGTTGCACAAAACATATACATTCTACCTATCCCCAGATAGGTTAGATCTGAGCGCACAAAAGTACCGAATAGCGCACAGATCCTATGCACACAGTCCAATTGCCGTGGAGTTAAAGTGTTCACAAAGTCTGTTCTCCATCCGAGTAGACTCCACGGGATGGCTATCTGGGGTAATGCAGTTCATACAGTTTAAACTACCGAATGAACAGGCATCCGGTTAAATAAATCTTTTCTGCAGGGAGAAAAGATGTCTTTGAACAAGGGGCCATAGTCTAAAGGCAACAGGCGAGCAACCAGGCTTCTCCAATGCAATGTGGCGAGATTGCTCTCGTCACAGTTCCCTTGGACTAAGAGACCACCAGAATCAGCTGAGGAGAGTTTCTCATTTGTTAAACGAGGTATCATCATAAAAACCTTACGAAGTCGGAGCTGGAAGGTAAGTTAAGGTAGGACCAACAGTAGATTTGTTTTTACATAGAGAGGTTAGTAGACATGAGAAGATGGCCATAATAACAAATACAGCTAATAGCAAAACGTACCACATTTTCCTTATTAGCAAAGTCAACCATGTTCCTAGCCCAAATGTCCAATCCCAATCCCCAAAGAAGCCAGTATCCTGTTTGATATTCTGTACTAAGTCATGTAAATCTTTTATATGTTTATAGATCATAGTGCCGTGGTCAGATTGGTTAAAACAGCACATACCTTCAATAGCTTCACAGCTTAAGTCATGTTTCATTAGAAAGTAGTCGATTGCTGCTCTATTCTCAAGGATTGCCTTCTTATTTGCCTGCGTGTCCATAAGTAACTCTTCTAGGTCCTGGGAAGTGGCATTTAAACCCTTTGCAAAGGAACAGGCTACAGCATTAATCACTCGGGTATTATATAGTGCTAAGCCTGGGACTCCTAACATAAAATATGCAAGGGCAGAGTATTCAGATTTAGATAAGAGCGTTATTTCAGGGTTACAATCTGAAGTAAGGGTGTTTTTGACATCTCTCCTGTCTCTCTGTGGTTTGTGTAGCTGGGTGGTTTCAGAGATCAGGTCAGATTTGGAAAACATGTTCATGGTTAGGAGTGAGATTACACAGGGACCTCCTGTAATGTTACCTGGGACATAAGCATAAGTAACATTTCCACAGGAAAAAGTCCATCCTTTAGGGAAATAGACGTGGTGGTGGTAACTCATAACTTGGTAAGTTTGGGTATATTTCATACTCTGAGGGTATATTTTCACCAAGGCTCAAGGCTCTACAATTCATGGTATTTCTCCACCATGTGGGGCAAAACAGGGATTTAGTATTAGGGTCTCTTGAACAATTACATGAAAAAGACCAACATAGTTCAGCGGCTGTCACATTAATTGTCTTCAGGGCTAGGGGGGCTTGCCTACCAGTGGGTTGAAAGCATAAGAATGTAGTTGTAGAGTTTTATGGGGTCTATGGGTATGTAAGTACTTCTCCATGAGTGAGATGGGGGAAGGGACAGCTATAAGACAATATTGTATGGTGTTTTCAGTACTGAGGAGAGAGTTGAGGCAAAATGAGGTTAAATTAAAAGCCTTTGCTATCTGCATCCATATATTTCCCTGCCATGCATTTCTATCTTCTGGTCTTAAGTCAGAATAGCATATCTGAACAGAGCATACGATGGTTAAGGATAAGAACAGCTTCATATCGGTGGATCAGTCGGAGTGACTTGTTTACAGTGAATGGCGTGTATACACGTGGCTTTTCCTTCTAGTTTCACTGAGGTAGCCGTAGTCGGGAGCAGTTGGAATGGACCGTCAAAGCGTGGTTCAAGTCCTTTCCTCACATGCCTCTTTATCATCACCCAATCCCCAGGCTGCAGTTTGTGAGTTGCAGAATCAGAGTCTGGATCTGGAATGGAATCAAAGACTTGTTTATGCACCCTGCCTAATCTTTGGTGTAGGGCCTGTACATAGGTAGTCTTACTTCCATGCTGCATCTGGAGGGTCTTGGGAAAGTAGAGGCCTGTCTTTGGAGCACATCCAAACAGCATCTCAAAAGGGGATAGGCCATGTCTGGAATTGGATGTGAATCTCATAGAAAGGACTGCTAGGGGAAGGCATTCAGGTACCCCGGATCTACATACCAGTTCCTTCAGAAGCTTACCTCCTGTGATCTTCGTTGTGGCTTTCGACACTGGTTAGGCCTCAGGCCAACCTGAAAAGAGATCAATGCACAACAAAACATATTCATACACTCCTACCTTAGGCAGTTGAATATAGTCTATCTGCAGTCTTTGAAACGGGTAAAGTGGCCTTGGTGTGTGCTTACTTGGTGTTTTGACAGCCTGTCCTGGATTGTTTCTAGCACAAATCATGCAAGCTTGGGTGTGTTTAGCTGCTATAACAGCAAATTTGGGTGCTATCATAGCACAATCCCATCTCATCCCAGATTTTAACTATAAACTATGGCTCACACATGGTATTACCATGATGCACCAATTACTAAAAGGATCACCAATTACTAATATGTTTCATTGATCTTAACACTCAATATAGTATACCCCACACAGTTCACTTTCATACATACTATTGCAATGTTGGTTAAAAAAGGAAAAGGTATTGCCTACCCCAGATGTACAAGGGCAACAGCTGATGGACACAGAGAAAGTTTGTTTACAGATAAAACCCCCTAAAAAACTTGTTTAAATTATTTATTCTGAGGAACATGCCATCTCTAAACTTACCACCTTTACTTTTATAAGGTCCTGGGAAAAGTATCTTGCACATCCCTTACCTGAGACACGACGGTGTGAGATACGGCAGGTGCATGCAAAGCTCACTATGTGTATATCACATGTTGAGCTTTCACAAACAATTCTCTACTGCTCTTACTTGGTACCTGCCCGACTCAAAAAATATTTTCCACAAACAGCAGATTAATGTTAGAGATGCCTATTTCAGAGCAGAACTATGCTCTACATTTGGTTGCCGTGTCCGTTGACTAGATACTGGCAGAGTATAGCCACTATGATCCAAAAAAAAAAAAAACCTAATATACCTTATTCTAACAGCTGCCCTTGGTGTTATTAGCAAAATATGGCAATCCACTATCCAACCCACATTGATAATTGTGTAAAAACTCTAGAAATCACAAAGCCATATGGAATTTCGGCTACACGAACCCAATCACCCCAAAAGTTCTGGATGGTGGCCTGTGATGTTTGGAACAATTACATAGCTACACACAATCCATAGTTACATTTCTTTCCATATAAGTAAATGGAGACGCTGAAGTAGATTACGAACTATGCAAACCGACAGCTGTGCCCTTAAAACTCACTCTGTAAGGTAAAGAATGTATTGCTTGCATTTGTAACACAGTACAATGGCAAATACATCTACTATAACAGCACAAGGACATTGAACTTACCCCCTCCCCCATAAGGCTGCATAGGACAGTGCTTTATGAATTATTTATCATTACTCTGGGTTTCCCTATTTCTTCACATCACATCGAGGTACCCTGCATATCTATTCCCCCCCCCCCTTTTTTCCTTCCCTTACCTTCACCACTAGGTTCTTTTCCCCTTCTAGTTTATGTCACAATTTGGTGCTCATAAGTAAATGTTGACATTTCGATGGAATAGAGATGTACACAATGTCATCTGTAATTGAGAACAACTTATCAATCTATACTTGTGTATTGTAATGTGATCTATCGATGGCACCAATAAAAAACTTTAAACTTAATTAAAAAAAAGGGAAGGAGGGTGATAAAAAGTATTGTTAATCAACAATACTCATTAGGGATGCTATAAGATGGAAGCAAAGGCAGGGGATGTGAATAATCTAAATTCTTTGATATGGGATTCAACATATACAAAAAAAAGAATATATCGCAATTCAATAATAACACAGTTGATGAAGAAATCGGAAAAAAATCAAAATAACTCTTAATTAATTAAAACATTTCAATCTAATTCCTTGAGAAGAACATGGTTACCAGCAAAAATCAGGATGGTTTTAGGAAGCACAGGTCATGTCAAACTAACCTGATTGCATTCTACGAAGAAGTAAGTAGAAGTATAAATCAGGGTGTTGCAATGGATGTGATCTATTTGGATTTTGCCAAGGAATTTGATACAGTTCCACACAATAGATTAGTGTTCAAACTCAAAGGAATTGGCCTAGATGAAAATTCTTGTTCTTGGGTAGAACATTGACTTAAAATAGAGTACAGCAAAAAAGAGAAAAACTGACCAGAAAGGTCAGAACTAGGAGGATGCCACCTGGAGGATTGTCATATGTTTATGTGCAAATAAAACATAACCTTTAATGATTTTATATATAAAAGCTTCTGTCCATTAAGGAACATTTTGTTCCTTAATGGACAGAAGCTTTTATATATAAAATCATTAAAGGTTATGTTTTATTTGCACATAAACATATGACAATCCTCCAGGGGGCATCCTCCTAGTTCTGACCTTTCTGGTCAGTTTTTCTCTTTTTTGCTATACATATAAGTAAGGGTTACCCCCTATTTTGGATGCCCCAGATACACACCCTAACTGTTTTTTCCCTGTTTCAGGGTATCCAGTATTCTTTTTTAAAATAGAGTACAAAGAGATATAATTAATTGTAAAATGTCAAACTGGACAGAGGTGGCAACTGGTGTCCCTCAGGGTTCTGTTCTGGGATCCCTTCTATTTAACATGTTTCTAGATGACCTTGAAAAAAGTATTGAAAGTCATCTTTCAGTGTTTGCAGATGACACGAAACTTTGTAATGTAATACAATGTGAGCAAGATATTACTTTGCTGCAGCAGGATTTAGATACACCGGGGGACTGGGCACTCAAATGGCAGATGAAATTTAATGTTGAAAAATGCAAAGTTATGCACTCCGGCGTAAAGAATGCACATGCAACGTATACCCTTAATGGAAGCAAATTAGAGATAACAACACATGAAAAGGACTTGGGAATTGTCATAGACAACAAACTATACAACAATGTGCAATGTCAATCAGCAGTGGCTAAGGTCAGTAAGGTATTGTCATGCATGAAAAAGGGATTTTATTCTCAGGATGAGAATATAACTTTGCCTCCTTATAAATCACTGGTTAGACTACATCTTGAATTTGCTGGTCAATTTTTGGCACCTGTTCTAAAGAAGGATATTATGGCACTAGAAAAAGTGCATAGGCAGGCTACAAAATTAATAAAAGGAATGGAACATATCGGCTATGAAGAAAGGTTAACAAATTTAAACCTCTTTAGTTTAGAAAAATGTTGCCTCAGAGGGGATATGATATAACATTATACAAATATATTCATGGGCCAATACAAACCATTGTGTGGAAATCTATTCACAAACCGGACTTTAACAGGACACGGGGTCATGCATTTAGACTGGAAGAAAGATGATTTTGTCTACGGCAAAGGAAAGGTTATTTTACTGTAAGAACAATAAGGATGTGGAATTCTCTGCCTGAAGATGTGGTTTTATTAGAGTCCATACAGATGTTCAAACAGCAACTATATGCATACTTGCAAAACAGAATATTCAAGGATATACTTTTTAAATGTAGGGTAATAACTTCTTGATCCAAGGATTAATCTGACTGCCATTCTGGTGTCAAGAAGGAATGTTTTTCCTAATTTGTTGCAAAATTGGAAGTGCTTCAAACTGTGTTTTTGCCTTCAACAGCAAAAAACAAATGTGAGGAAGGCTGTACTTGATGGACGCAAGTCTCTTTTCAGCTGTGTAACTATGTAACTATGTAATCTATCCTGACCTAAAATTTATTGAGCAACAAGTACCCGATTTGAATTTAAGAGAGTGGAAACAAGCAGGCATTAACATGATTTCCTAAAAGACAGAGTATTAAAGGGACACTATAGTCACCAGAACAACTACAGCTTAATGTAGTTGTTCTGTTGAGTATAATTATTATATGCAGGCATTTTAATGCAAACACTGCCTGTTAACACCTCCAAGTGGCAACTCCTCAGCAGGCCAATGGAGGTGCTTGCTGGCTCAGTGTTGCACAGTAGGCAGCAATGACATTCAGCGTCTCCACGCTCTGCATTTGTCCTCACACCCTTGCCAATTTTAGCCAATCCAATGTTTTCTCCATAGGAAAGCATTGGATTGGCTAAAAATCGGCAATTCTGATGATGTTAACAAGGGGGCAGGGCCAGCGCTGGCGGACCTACACAATGCTGGAAATAAGTTGAGTTTTATTATCTTTTAAGGGGGCTAAGGGGAGCAAGCCACCTAAATGGTGGGTCTAGCACTATAGGGTCAGGAATACATGTTTGTGTTCCTGACCCTATAGTGATCCTTTAAGTATGGAAACTTAAGAGGGATGTAAGGGAACAAAACTGGTGTGGACTGGCTGACAATAAAATTAATTATTGTAAAGCTAACTGTGTGGACTATGAAAATGTTTTAGTCTTTCTAACACTGAGAAAATAAAGTTTTGTAAAGATTGCAAACCCAAGGTATGGCTGATATTGGTGTATAATGCTGTTACATCAACGATCACCAAACTGTAACTACCCTGCCATTTGATATCATGAATCAGAGACACGTGCCCTGTATCTCGTATATATGATGGGAGATTGAGGACATAACATTGAAGGTGAAAATTGATCAGGGGTTCCCAACCCATGGTACGCGTACCCCAAGGGGTACAATTCATTGCCCCAGTGGGTACGCAAAATAATTTAGTTGATGGCGGCCTCACGGGTTGGGAACCTGGCTATCGGGTAAACCAGGCAAATGCCTTGTGTGCCGCAATGGTCTTGGGCCGACGGGAGATCACAGGATTTCCCCTGCCAGCGCTATCAGAGTGCCAGCCCCACTGTGTGCCTTCATAGGCCGGTGAAGAGATTTTAGATCTCCATCACCAACCCACAGGCACTGAAAGGCAGCATGCAGGAGGTTCCTCCCGCGAGTTCGGCAATTTGGAGTGTTGCCGCTGGTTACCACGGCAACGCTCAGAGGATCTCGTGAGAGGACTGAACTCTGCCTGGCAGAGTAGTACTGCTCATCTCCACCAGGGCAATGCCCCCTCTCCCCAGGAAAAAGGTGAGGAGAGGGGACATAGTTTATTTATAAATTTTTTTATTTTTTTTTAGATGAATTTCTCCTATTCCCCCCAATATATAGGCACCCACCCATCACCCACACACAGTATCCATCACCCACACACTGCACCCTCTCACACTGACACAGAGCACCCCCTCACACTGACACACAGCACCCGTGTCTCAAACACAGCACCCCTCACAGACAGCATCCCTCACACACACACAGAGCAATAGGACGGGTCTAAAAAAAGTGTGCACAAAACGCACCTATCACACACACAGAACACCCCTCACACACAGCACAGTGTGTGTTATTGTGTATCTGTAGGTTAGGGTGTGTATCCTTAAGTGTGTAATTGCATGTATCTATGTGTCTGTGGATCTGCATGTGTATCAGGATAAGTATCTATGCGTGAGGAAATATGTCAGTGTCTGTATATGTATGTGTGTCAGGTTATGTAAAGAACCAGTAGATCAAGGGACTTACGGTCCCCAGAGCAGTAAGGAGAAATCTCAGAGTCTTAAATAGATTAATATAAAAACTGTTCTGTACTGGTATCTGTCATATATAGGCTCAAGGGATAACAATCTGCAGCCTGAGGCCCTGTACTTTCCTTTTTGCTCCGGTTTGCTTACAGACAGAGATTTTGCTATTCATATTCAAAGTATCCATATTTGAGATACTTTTGTATATATATAGATCTATATATATATATTTGTGTTAGGTGCTTAAGATAGTACAGTGTGAAATACCATGAATAAGCTTAGGATGATAAAAGGAGCAAGTCGGTTGTGGTGTGCCGAAACCGACGATGAGGTAGGCCTGAGAAAGAAGAGGGCAAAATTAAGTAATCAAATTTATTAACAGACAACCAATACATATACATTTATCAACCAGACATGTTTATGAAAGCATCTCTTAATTCTTGTACTGGGTTCGGTATGTACCGTGAGTAAGCGGATGACTTCCAGCGCCCCAGTGTTTTGATAACATGAGTTGGGACGTTGAAACTGGAGGCTGTGGACGCGGCTCCTATACGAAAGGAGTGTCCTGAGTAATTGTTTGCGTTGAGGCCCAGTTGTGTGAGCAAGGACCTGACGTAGGTCATGAAGGTTGTAGTGGTGAGTACTGCACCTTGTAGTTGTAATAACGGTTGCGAGGGCAGTAAGTGATGGTGCTGTATGTAGGCATCAAGAACCTTGACGGGACACCATCTGTTGTGCGTGGGATAGTACGGAATGTTTACAGGTATGTGCTGGCTGGTTTTGGAGTGAGGTAAAGACAGGATGTAATGATCCATATGTTTTGTCAAGTGGGACTAGAGAAGGAATGGAGTGGTTTGGGTCGTGGAGGTCGTAGTGAATTCTCTGGGTCGTAGAAATCCATAGAAAGCGATGTATATTGCTGTTTTGATGATAGAATTCGTATTAGTGTCAAACGGTTTTAGGTCGAGTAGGTTAGATAATGCTTTGAAGATATGGTTATCTATGGGTAGCCTCTGGGCCAAATGTGTGGGTTCTGATTTTTGAATACCTATGAGTATGGTCTTAATTTGGTGAGAGGCCATGAAACTGTTATTTGGGTGTAAGATGAGCATGTGGTGTTGAATGCCAGTGAGATAGAGTTTGATGGTGTTGTATGACATTTTGAGTTTAAGGTGGCAAAAGGAAGCAAACCCCAAAAAAGATGTCATAACAAACGGTTGTATGATGTTATGTTCCAGAAGGAATCGTTTGAATAGTGTGAAAGCCCTGCTGTATGTTTTGGTTGTATTGTGTGAAAGTGCCAACTGAGACAATGTCCTGCTATGCTGCATGATGACGTCTAGTCCAGTATGAGTTGTTGAAATGTTGGAGTGATGGTGGCTGTGGGTGCTGCTGACGGGAGTGCTTGATGAAAATCCTGAAATTTAAAGCGAGACAAACTGTCAGCAGCTGTGTTATATACACCTGGCACATGGAAACAACATAGGAAGAAATTATGACAAGCTGCCAACCAAGTGAGTTTCCTCAGAAATATCATAATCGTAAGAGATTTGGAACGACCTTTGTTGATGATGTGACAGGTTGCCTGGTTGTCTGAGTAACAACGCACTGGCGTATTAGCCCATAAATGACCCCACGCTACGGCAGCCGCCACTATGGGGTAGATCTCAAAAAGAGCTGAGGTAGTGGAAAAACCTTCCAAATCCAGAACTGATGAAGGCCAGCTGCCCCAAAGCCATTCGTTCCCAAAAATTGCTGCAAAACCAGTGGTAGATGCCGCATCTGACCAAATGGTAGGAGATGATTCAGTCAATTGAGGGAGGAACATACTT